AAAAAAAATAGAACACTGGAAATATCCTGTGGTTTAGCCTAATTACTGTGAGGCGGTAATTCGCTGAGTAGCGGGTTGAGTAAGTATCTGGCTGTTCGGGTGGAAATGTCAGTTAGCAGTTACTGACCAGCGCGGCTCACTTTGGATGCAGTGGCCTCCGGGAAAGGCGGGCACCAGTAACCACTGACCGTCACGTTCCTGTGCCAGGTCCCGTAGAATGTGAAGAAGCATAAAAGTGGGCCCTCTTCTCAGGGCACTGATGCTTTAGGTCCCAGAAACTAGTGGACCAGTCACCAAAATAAGCAGAGCCTGATGCCCGGCTGAGCGCGCGGGCACCGGGGCCGAGTGGAGAGGAGAGGGAGGGAGGAGGGGGTCAGAGGATGCTGTAGTGGACGCTGCTCAGCAGGCGTCCCTTTTCCCAGGCCAGAGCGGTGGGTCTATGATGACCCGTCACCGATCCGTCACCCAGGCGCCTCCCCCAGCCCGGAGCACGCACGGCCCAGGCGAGGCTCACAGTGTCTCCTCCTCGGGAGCCCCAGAGGCCAGGACGGCTGAGGGTGCGTCCCCTCATCCCAGCCGGTCTGCTCTGGGCCTGGCCGGCCCCTCTTCCTGGTCCCTTGAGCTGCCTTAGCTTCTGCTGTTTCCAGTCCCTTTCTCTGGCTTGCAGCCAGTTCCGTGAGTTCGTGACGGCTTTGCAGCGGAGCCCCTTTGGCCTGAGGTGGCGGGAAGGGACTTCTGTGGCTTGCCACGAGTGAGTCTCACTGTTGTAGCTGGCACTCCCGGCCTCCAGGGGAGTGCAGCATAGGCAGGTGACCTGGGGGAGAGGGGGGCGGGGAGATGATGGCCAGGCTCTGAGACACCCTCGCTTCCGGGAAGAGCAGTGCAGGTGGGGTTATCCTCAGGTTTGGAAGAAAACTTAGGAAGAAGGCAGAGCAGCCTGAGCCGGGTTTCTCGGAGGGATGGACGAGGGAAGTGAGGCTTACCCTGGAAACAGGAGCAAGAAGTCACATCTGTGTGCATTGCTACAGTTTGGTGTTTTGCTTTTTAAAAATTCTGTAGTAAAGTTCTTTTTGACTGCTTTAGCTTTTTTCGTTGTTAATCCTCACCGGAGGGTATTTTTTCATTGCTGTTTAGAGAGAGTGGAAGGAAGGTAGGGAAAGAGAGAGACATCAATGATCAACTGTGTGAAAGAGACACATTGATTGGTTGCCTCCCGCACACAGTCCCACCGGGGCTGAGGATTGAACCTGCAACCCAGGTATGCACGCCCTTGATTGGGAATCAAACCCGAGACCCTTGGGTGCACGGGCTGATGCTCTAACCACGTAGCTGCCGACCAGGCCCTTCAGACTGTTCGTTGTTGTTGTTTTTAATATGTCTTTATTGATTTCAGAGAGGAAGGGAGAGGGGAGGGAGATAAAAACATCAGTGATGCCGAAACCGGTGTGGCTCAGTGGATAGAGCGTCGGCCTGCGCACTGAAGGGTCCCAGATTCGATTCTGGTCAAGGGCATGTACTTTGGCTGAGGGCACATCCCCCCCAGTGGGGGGTGTGCAAGAGGCAGCTGACCAATGATTCTCTCTCATTAATGTTTCTAACTCTCTATCCCTCTCTCTTATAAATATAAAATAAAATATATATTTTTTATTTTATTTTATTTTTTTACAAAGGAAAGGAGAGGGAGATTGGTTTTACAAAGGAGAGGAGAGGGAAAGGGAGATAAAGACATCAGTGATGAGAGAGAATCATTGATCGGCTGCCTCCTACACGGCCCCACTGGGGAACGGAGCCCGCAACCCGGGCATGCGCCCTTGACCAGAATCAAACCGGGGACCTTTCGGTCCATAGTCCGACGCTCTATCCACTGAGCCAAACCAGCTAGGGCCCTTTTACTGTTTTAGATGATCTTAGGGGAATGAGGGAGAGATGGGGAAGGTTTGGTCCATTCCAAGGCTGGTATAGCTGGGAAGGCGGTCGGGAAGCCTGGTGGGTGGGGTTTCAGATAGACTCACCCAGCAGGGCAGGTGCACAGGGTCTGAGTTAGAGGGGAAGGGCTGGACAGGAAGAGAATGGACTCTGATGGGTGGTTCCGAGAGGCCTTCATGCAGAGCTGAGAGGAGGCGAGTGTGAGAGACTGAGAACGCAGAGGGTGGAGACGCACCGTGCTGTAGCTCCATGTAGTAATCAGTGCACGTAACTGCATGTATGTCACTGTCCGCGTGTGTGAATAACACAACTCTGCATCGGGACAGAGGAGAAGGGTGCCCATGACCAGGAATGGAACCTCTCACCCTTCAATAGGCCCAACAAAACTTTGCTCACAGACACAGAAATGTGCATTTCATACAGTTTTCATTTAACATTTTAGAAGAGAAAAAGCTGTAGCGCAGGTGGTTCAGCAGTGTTAGCGGTGAGCATGGCCTGAGGCCATCGGCTGCCTGCCAGCTGGGAAGCACCGTCCACGTCCCCTGCTGTGATGGGGGGTTCGTGTCTGCATTCTCCAGGCAGCAGTTCCTGGGCATGTGCAGGAGAGACGGAATTTTAATATGTAATTTTTTTTTTTTTTTTTTTTTTTTTACACTTTAAATCGGGATGTGAATTAGATCCCAACGTTTTTATTTATTATTTTTTAAATTGAAACCTTGCTTTGGTGAAGAAGAACAACAACAACAACACAACAACAACAACAACAACAACAACTCAGCTCAAGGAAATGGAACCATCTGAGTGGCTTTTTTAAAGACCCTATTCAGGTCTTCCAGTTCCTCTGAAAAATGACAATGGGTTGTGACCATTTTCTAGGAACGCCCAGAACCTGTGAAATGGAGGCCGGGGGTTCAGCGCCTGATCCTGGGCTTCCAGGTGCCCGCGGATCGGGCTCCACAGCGCGGGCCCGGGTGGCTCCGGCCGGGCGGGCGGCGGGCTGGGCGACACCGGCGACGTGGCGAAACCCGCGGCCCGAGCGGCCCCGGGAGGCGGGACACCAGCTCTCCGCGGCCCGAACCAGCGCGGCCACCGGCTCAGGGGGCGGAGGGGGACCGGGGCCGGGGATCGGGGATCGGGGACCGGGCCGGGGCCGGGGCCGGGGCCGGGGCCGGGGGAGGCTGCGGGCCGGCCTAGCCGCGGGCACAGCGCCCGGGCTCCCGCGCCTCCGCCGGTGGCGCCGCCCCGCCGCCTAATATGTAATTTTAACGTGAATTTTAATTTAATCTGACACAGCCCCACGGGGCGAGTGGCTACGGCACAGGCATTGGCCAGCGCAGATCTAGAGACACAGGGGATGCAGCCGGAACCACAGACAGAACTCCCCGTGGAGCTCAGCGTGGACAGCAGAGACCTGCATTGCGGTGCAGAGCCCGGGGGACCGCCGGGGACTAGCGAGCACTGCTGGGCCTGCTCTGTGCGCTGGGCCTGGGCCTGCTCAGGGAGGCCCACAGCTGGGCGCGCCCTCCGAATGGACCTCAGCCCCGCAGGCGGAGCGGGGAGGCAGGCCCTCATACCGTGGGATGCCATTGTGCAAACCTCAGAGACAGGCACAGTGAAGAGCACTGTTGGCCGCAAACATGTAAAAACCCCTTTTAAAAGCAGGGGGTTCGGACTGCGGTGCCTTTGGGGGAGAAGGCCCTGTGAGGCCACGGAGTGGTCCTGGCGAGGTGAGCAGGTGTGTTTGGGCTGCTGGACCAGTGTTTCCCGCGGCAAAGACGGGGGCCGTTGTGGCATCACCAGCGTCCCTGCTGAACGGCTTCAGTTCCCTCTGCGGCATATGTCCCGTTACAGTATTTGTTGCCTTAGTTGCATTAGAACAAGATTAGATTGGAAAACGTTGCTACTTATTCAGCTTATAAACAAAGGATTAAACATAAAACCCGTGGTTTGTTTCACTCAATCTGAGGATGCGCTGTTACCAGACCCTAACCGCACTGAAAGGGAAAAGCTGAAAGCGGTGAAGGACAGATAGGTGCGTCTACACTGTATGACGTCTGCGCACTGGGGGTCAGGGAGCTGCGGCTGCTCTCTCAGGGGCAGTGAGTGCGTTTCAGAAAGGGCAGGAGCTCCGGGTAAGTAGGATCAGAGACACTGTGTTACGGAGGCCCAGTTATGCTGTGGCCGTTCTATGAGCTGACTGTTACTGTGTGGAGCATTTCTGTGTGATATGTGCATCTTTGACTTTTTCCTCATTGATCCGTCCTCATGCTTCCCTTATCACTGACACGGGTTTATCTTTTCTCCCCTCAGAGAGTTTTGAGGTGACAGTCACCGAAGAAGGTGATAAAGGGTTCTTTCTCTCCCTCTTATGACTATTAACCCACTAACTTTGTTTGTAAAATTGGGAATCAGCCTTAAACAGAAGAAGCTGTCATGCTCTTTTACCCCTTTTATTCTCCTGTTTTGTTTCTGTTTTTAAATATATTGATGGAAACTGTATGTAACCAAACCCTTGGTTAGAAATATCTGGAAATCAGACATCCATTTGAACTACATGGATAACACTGTACATTTTCCCCTAATTGAACTTAAGAGAGTCACTCTGGAATCATTTTCTATTAGTTGTAATATCGGAAGAGGTCCATCTTGTTTTTATGTGAAATACATTTTTGAAGTTTTGCTTACACATTAGAACATTTATATCTGTTCTCCCGCGGGCAAGAATGGAAACGTAGGTTTTTAACTCCCAGTGAAGCTGGTACGCCAACCCAGACGCATGTTCGTCCGCAGGCAGCTCATTTTCAGCTCCAATGGCTGGAGTCCGCACCAGGGCCGGCCTGGCGGCTCTCCATGGCGGCCCTCACGCCCCGGTAGGCCAGCTGTTGAAATGGATGCCTGAAAAGTTGGTATTTCTACCTTCTCGTCCAGTAGTTGGCTTTGATTCCCTAATTTTAGCCAGGCTCATTGCACAGGAAGACTTGTTTCTGCTGACTGTTTTTTTTACAGACTTTCTGTAATTATGGTGCTGAACCTATATCTCACACTTCTTCCTCTCCCAACACGTGACTGTGTGTTTTAGCCGCCTCTCTGGTCCAAACCAAAAGAGCTGCCAGCTGCCCCCTGCAGCCGGGCAGTTTTGGTGTTACCAGGCCTTGGCAGTTTGCTAATGAGACCACGTGCCCTGGAGCTGTCCTAAGTACTCCTGTGAAATGCCTGTCTTTTTTTCCTCTCTTTTGTATTCCTGCATGAGTGGATGCAAAGTCCGATGAGTTGCTTGGAAAGCTAGAACCTGCTTCTGTGTACTAAAGCCCAGAACTCACCCTGCCACCAGCACAGCGCCCGGCTTCCCACAGACCCTCCCCCCTGGCTGCCACGTGGGCATCGGTTTCCTTTGGGGGAGGAGGGGTCCGACCGCAGCCGGTTTGGTGGCAGCGAGCTAACCCGCGCTGCTTTGACTCCCCAGGTGAGATCTGTGGATTTAAAATCCACGGGCAGGATGTGCCCTTCGACGCAGTGGTGGTGGATAAGTCCACGGGCGAGGGGCTGATCCGCTCCAAAGAGAAGCTGGACTGCGAGCTGCAGAAGGACTACACGTTCACCATCCAGGCCTACGACTGCGGGAGGGCGCCCGATGGCAGCGCCAGCCCCAAGAAGTCTCACAAGTAAGTGTGCGCAGGGAGCTCTGCTCTGTGCCGGCTCCGGTGCTGGTGAAACGGAAGCTGGTTCTCAGTGGCCCATCGGGACGTAGCAGTTGGACCAGAGTGCCTGGCAGGCGGCGCCAGCCCGGCCTGGGCCCTAGCAGTCAGTGGAGGAATAGCCTCGCAGAGAAACCACGGCCCCAGAGGGAAAGCTCGGGAAGCCCTCTCTGCCGCTGGGAAGGGGTTTGTGGGCAGGCGATCCTGTCTGTGAGTCCTGACGGCATGAAATTCACCTGAGCCGGTGAGGACGCAGCGGTGGGCTCCGCCCTGGAGTGAGCACGGCCTTCCTGCAGCGAGAACCGCCGGGTAGTGGAGGTGCTCTGGGCAGGACGTGGAGCTAGAATCTTGTCTTCCTGCCGGCCCGAGTGGCTCAGTGGTTGAGTGTTTGACCCAGGAACAAAGAGGTCACAGTTCAATTCCCGGTCAAGGGCTTGCAGGAGGCAGCTGATCAATGATGTTTATATCTCCCTAGCCCTATCTCTTCCTCTCCTCTCTCTCTAAAAATCAATAAAAACATATAAAAATTAAAAAAAAAAATCTAGTCTTTCCTCTCCACTTACCTGATCTTCGGCATTGGGCTGATTTAATTTTGTTGAGACTCAGTTTCTACTCAGTACGCGGGCGGAGGAAAGAGGGCTGAGATGATGTCATGTAACTGTGAGTGTCAGGTGGGGGTTTGGCGTTGCGTGTAGGGTCTTGGGGACAGTGCGGAGCAGAGGGCAGAGCTTGTCCGGTTCAGGATTCGCCCTGACGCCAGCGGTTTCTGTCTGGGGAGCCTGCTCTGACGATGCCTTAATCTTCTCATCCCCGAGCTGGGGCGACGGAAGCTGGCAGCACCAGGAAGGGCCGCACTGAGGTCACGTTGAGGTCTCTCATTTGCTAGATCAGCGGCGGGTGGTGTCCCAACCCCGGGCTGCTAATGGTCTCTGTCCCAGAAGCAGGACAAGCCTGTTGTAACGCTCGCCGTATCCCATCTTCTATCCGTTTCTTATCCCTTCTTCCTTTGGCTCTAGTTGTTTCTGAATTTTGAAACAAAATATTTCTAACTTTGTGATAACAGAGCTTACAGACATCTGGTATAGTTTAATCTCCCTTTTACATGCCCTGTCCCACGTGGTGAAAGAAAATCCCAGTGTTACTGCCTTTTTTTGTTTTTTAAATCCTCACCCGAGGGTATGTTTTTAATGATTTTTAGAGAGAGGAAGAGGGAGAAAGAGAACCATCGATCGGTTGCTTCCCACACCCCGATTGGGGATTGAACCCACAGTGTTGGTATGTGTCCTGACCGGGAATCGAACCTAAAACCTTTTTGGTGTCTGGGACAATACTCAACCACATGAGCCGCCGGCCAGAGCTGCGTTGTCGCCTTCTTACCAGGTATTTTATTCCTAGAGCTGGAAGGATCACCCCAAATTCCTGCTTTAACTTTTCTGTTGTATCCAGGCTAAACTAAAAACAATGAATAGTTTATTTTTTGTCCTCATACTAGAGGCCCGGGCACAAAAACTGGTGCGAGAGTGGGCCTGCCTTCCCTCGGCTGCGGGCACCGGGTTCCCCCAGGCACCTGGGACCTGGGCTGCGGGCACCGGGTTCCCCCAGGCACCCGGGACCCGGGCTGGCTTCCCTCCGGCACCCGGGACCCGGGCTGCGGGCACTGGCTTTTCTCAGGCACCCGGGACCCGGGCTGCGGGCACCGGCTTCCCCCAGGCACCCGGGACCCGGGCTGCGGGCACCGGGTTCCCCCAGGCACCCGGGACCTGGGCTGGCTTCCCTCCGGCACCGGGACCCGGGCTGCGGGCACTGGCTTTTCTCAGGCACCCGGGACCCGGGCTGCGGGCACCGGGTTCCCCCAGGCACCCGGGACCCGGGCTGGCTTCCCTCCAGGCCTGGCTTCCGTCAGGAAGGACGTCTGGTCTAATTAGCACATCACCCTTTATTACAGATAAAACTTAATAAAACAAGTCAGGAAGGAAGTTTAAAAGCGGGCAGATGGGGGGGGTGTAAAGCAAGCAGCGCCCACACTCTCCCTCCCCAGGGCCACGGTGCACATCCAGGTGAACGACGTGAACGAGTACGCGCCCGTGTTCAAGGAGAAGACCTACCAGGCGTCTGCGGTGGAGGGGCGGCGCCCGGAGAGCATCCTGCGGGTGGAGGCCGTGGACGCGGACTGCTCCCCGCAGTTCAGCCAGATCTGCAGCTACGAGATCGTCACTCCAGACGTGCCCTTCACGGTCGACAAAGATGGTGAGGACAGAGGGCAAGCGTTCCTCTCCGGGGGGCTGTCCCTCCCACGCCGATCAGCTTCACACCACGCTGTGTACGTCAGTGGGACTCATAGACCGAGAGGTAGCCCATTCGGGCGGCTGGCACCAGATGCCACCGACCAGGAGACTTAACCAACAGGCTTTTCTGTCTCACGTTCTGGAGGCTGGGAGTCCAAGACCAAGGAGCCCTCGGGAGGGCCTGCTTCCCGGCTCAGATGCCACCCTCTCTGTCCTCACGCGCTGGGAGCGACAGGCACTCTGCCTCCTCTCTTCTTATAAGTCACTGGTTCCACTGTGGGGACTGGCCCTCATTGCCTCCCCTAAACCTCAGCTCCTCCCAGAGGCCCCCCCTCCTAACCCCGAGCCACTGAGGGGCAGGACTTCACATGTGAACCTCGGGGACGGGCACACTCGGTCCACACAGACCCGCTGTGGTGCGTTTCCCGGTTGAGTGTTCACTCTGTTCCCTGAACACCGAGTGCTCTCTGGCGGGGCCGCTCCTCTTTCCTTTCCCATCGAAGTCACATGCAAAGCCCTGCCCCTCCTGCTGCTGCTCTTTATCTTCTCCCCTGCGGTCAGCATGCACCTGAATGAGACAGGCCTTTGGTTGGGCCTGGTTTTCTGTCCTCCGTTAGATTTGAATCTCCTGCCTCATCTTGAAGGTGACGGTTTACACCTCATTGCCAGACCCTCAGTAACTGAACATTCTAGAGTTTAGCTGCTTTATGAGGGCATGGCTTCAGGATGATGCATGTCTCCGTCGTTACCCACTGTCCAGGCTCTCTGCTAAAATCTCGGCATGGCACACACTTAGCAGACCCCTGTGTTCTGGTCCAAAGCAGGCTCCTCCCTAGGGGGTGGGGTAGGAAATCTCTCGTGCTAATAAGATAAGTCTGTGACAAGAAGGATTTAATGCAACTTTGAGCTTGTATTATAGTTAATATTTGAAGAATTTGAATCATTTTGTCTTTTTTATTCTCTTATATGTAAATCTTCAAGTAACTATAAAAGCAAACAGAAGTCTGTAAGAATGAATGGAGTTGAGTTGCATGGGCTCCGAGGTGGGTTAGTGGGGACTCGGGGAGCCGGGGCGTGTCGTGACCTCAGGGTCCCCGTCGGTGCCTCCGGGTCTGTGTGTTTCCGCGGGGACGTGGAGGGCGAGCGCTCGGTGCGGGTCCTCACTGTTGCTTCTCTCTGGAAGGCTACATAAAGAACACGGAGAAGCTGAGCTACGGGAAGGAACACCAGTACAAGCTGACCGTCACAGCCTACGACTGCGGGAAGAAAAGGGCCACCGAGGACGCGCTGGTCAAGATCAGCATCAAGCCCACCTGCACCCCCGGGTGGCAAGGTGAGCCCCGTTCTCCTCTGCGTGCTCACCCCGTTCTTAAAGCTCCGGCACGAAACCTAACGTGTGCCCCCCCCCCCCGCCGCTGCAGGGTGGAACAGCCGGGTGGAGTACGAGCCCGGCACAGGCGCCCTGGCCCTCTTCCCGAGCGCCCGCCTGGAGACGTGTGACGGGCCCGTGGCCTCGGTGCAGGTGACGGTGGAGCTGGAGACCAGCCACATCGGGAAAGGCTGCGACCGCGACACCTACTCCGAGAAGTCCCTTCACCGGCTCTGCGGTGAGGGCGAGAGGGATCCTGTGTGTGTGTGTGTACGTACATAGCTGTGTGTGTACATAGATGTGTACGTGTGCATGTGTGTACGTGTACATGTGTGTACCTGTACATGTGTGTGCGTGTGTGTGCATAGGTGTGTGTGTGTACGTGTGTGTGTGGCTTCACGATCATGAACTAAAGCAGACTAACTTTCTGACACAGCTGATTCCGCCTCACCGGCTGATTTCCCTGCCGGTGGCCTTCAGGGGGTACATGACCCCGGGGAAGTCTCTTCAAAATGGCATTTTATGTGCATTTTTAAGAGCCACTGATTTGAAGACAGTATTTCTCTGATGCATTGAGAATCACCAGAATAGAAATTACATCTGTGGAGGGAGTTTTAAATGGAACGGGATGGTAATTTAAGGACCAAAGAAAAAAACTACAGGCAGTGCGGTAGCTTTTGGCAAACGTGAAGAAGAAAATCAAGACCAAAAGCACCCGCATCCAACTACGGTCTCCGCGGACCGTACACCAGGCCCGGGCAGAGGGTCACTCACAGGCCGGGGGAGAGGCAGGGGGAGTGTTCTGGTTTATCGAAGTGGGCCGGTGGCTGCCCGTCACGGGAGATGCTGAGGAAGAGTGTTACTTGGCTGAGAGAAGACACAGTTACTTACTGGCAGAGGGTCTTGGGCGTGTCAGGAGCCATTCCGCTCAGCTCGGCGGGAGCGTTTTCCTCCTCTGGCCGCTGAGAGCAGCCGGTGTGAGCAGCAGTGCTGGTGTCACTGGAAACGGTTCTGGTGGATCAGCAGAGAGGGAGCGTGTAGTGTCTGCTGGCGCATCCCCGTGGTGCACACGCTCTGAGTCCAAGTTCATAGCCATGTGCTAATCTGTAAGTGCAGAGATCTGGAATGGGCTCCAGTTTTAAACTGTGTACATTAGTATAAAACTACCTTCTCGCAGTGCCATTTTTTATGGTGTTACAGGAACACGTTCTCAGCAGGACAGTTTAAAGGTAGGAAGAAGGGAAAGAATTCCCTATCTGAGTGCTCACTGCATGCTGGGCACTTCCGCCCGAGTTCCTGCCTCCTCCCAGGCCTCAGAGGCGGCGGCATTGACTGGCTCTCACAGGAACTCACGGACAGGAACTCACGGGGACACACTCAGGAGGTGGCAGACTGGGGTTTGGGCTGAGGTCACTGTTACTCAAGAGACCAGGTTCTTGAGCCAGATCACGCAGCTCCTGGGAATTGAGACGCGATTTCCAATCTTTTGCAAAATTTTTTTTAATTGAGCTTGGCAATACATACAATAGTTATAAAACTTGTCATGCTTTGTTGGCTTAGCAATTCCATTTCTAGGGATTTTTCTAAGGGGATGATCATGGAGACACGCAAAGGTGTGCATCAGGGGAAGGTTTATCCTAGGAAAACGGGAACCCCGGCCCACCAGGCAGTCCATTAAGTGAACTAGGGCGCATCCGTGCGACGGCATCCGGGCTAGAGAATGACAGGAATTGCGTGCACACAGGCCTCCGTGTTCGTCACGTGCACATATTCAGAGAGGCCTGGACGTGCTTACATGCACATGTTAATTGTGGACCACAGATTTATTTTTTTCCTTTAAAAACTTAGTACTTACACATTTTGCTTGTCATAAAAACCCCTCCTTTGGAGCAAAATGAAGTGGGTCTAGGGAACCGTGTAGACCCAGGCCAAGGCGGCGCCTGTTCAGCTCCTCTCACCCTGAACCCCATGTTTGGCGTTTCAGGGGCCGCGTCCGGCACCGCCGAGCTGCTGCCCGCCCCGAGCGGCTCCCTGAACTGGACCGCGGGCCTCCCCACGGACAACGGCCATGACAGCGACCAGGTCTTCGAGTTCAACGGCACCCAGGCCGTCCGGGTCCCCGATGGCGTCGTGTCCGTCAACCCCAAGGAGCCCTTCACCGTGTCCCTGTGGATGAGGCATGGGCCCTTCGGCCGCAGGAAGGAGGCGATCCTCTGCAGCTCCGACAGGACAGGTGCCCGTGCGGGGGCGCTGCTCCGTGCCCACGGGGGCTGCTGGGGGGCGCTGCTCTGTGCCCACGGGGGCTGCTGGGGGGCAGGGGCTGCTGGGGGGCAGGGGCTGCTGGGGGGCAGGGGCTGCTGGGGGTGCTGCTCTCCGTCCCCACAGGGGCTGCTGGGGGGGCAGGGGCTTCTGGGGGGCGCTGCTCCGTGCCCACGGGGGCTGCTGGGGGGGCAGAGGCTGCTGGGGGCGCTGCTCCGTGTCCCCTCTGGGGCTGCTGGGGGGGCAGGGGCTGCTGGGGGGCGCTGCTCCGTGTCCCCTCGGGGGCTGCTGGGGGGGCAGGGGCTGCTGGGGGGGCAGGGGCTGCTGGGGGGCGCTGCTCCGTGCCCATGGGGGCTGCTGGGGGGCGCTGCTCTGTGCCCATGGGGGCTGCTGGGGGCGCTGCTCCGTGCCCACGGGGGCGCTGTGTGCCCACGGGGGCTGCTGGGGGGCAGGGGCTGCTGGGGGTGCTGCTCCGTCCCCACAGGGGCTGCTGGGGGGACAGGGGCTGCTGGGGGCGCTGCTCCGTGCCCATGGGGGCTGCTGGGGGGCGCTGCTCTGTGCCCACGGGGGCTGCTGGGGGGCAGGGGCTGCTGGGGGGCGCTGCTCTGTGCCCACGGGGGCTGCTGGGGGGCAGGGGCTGCTGGGGGTGCTGCTCCGTCCCCACAGGGGCTGCTGGGGGGGCAGGGGCTGCTGGGGGGCGCTGCTCCGTGCCCACGGGGGCTGTTGGGGGGGGCAGAGGCTGCTGGGGGCGCTGCTCCGTGTCCCCTCTGGGGCTGCTGGGGGGGCAGGGGCTGCTGGGGGGCGCTGCTCCGTGCCCATGGGGGCTGCTGGGGGGCGCTGCTCTGTGCCCACGGGGGCTGCTGGGGGGGCAGGGGCTGCTGGGGGGTGCTGCTCCGTGTCCCCTCGGGGGCTACTGGGGGGAGTGCTGCTCCGTGTCCCCGCGGTGGGTGCCGGGGGACTCTGCTCTGTGTCCCCGCGGTGGGTGCCGGGGGACTCTGCTCCGTGTCCCTGCAGGGGCTGCTGGGGGGCATGTGCTCCGTGTCCCTGCAGGGGCTGCTGGGGGGCATGTGCTCCGTGTGCCCACGGGGGCTGCTGGGGGAACATGTGCTCCGTGTCCCCTCGGGGGCTGCTGGACCCCTTCCTCCGAGGTCCCCCAGGCTGGGTGGTTACACCAGGGCGGCCTGTCCTCCACACACCCCCTGGCATTGGGGCATTTGATAGTGAAAACCCAAGTGTATTTGTTTCTGACCTGCCTTGGCCCAGCTGGGGAGTTCATTGATGCTGATAAAACCGTGTCTTCAAAACCCATTAAAGAAATAGCTTTTATTTCTCCTTCGGTCTTAAGTTGGCAATTTACCAGTCGCGTCTCTCCCTGCAGATAGGAACCGGCACCATTACTCCCTCTTCGTCCACGGCTGCCGGTTCATCTTCCTGCTCCGCCAGGAGCCCTCGGGGGAGAAGAAGTTCAAGCCCGCCGAGTTCCACTGGAAGCTGGCCCAGGTGGGGGGCGCGTTCCGCTCTCAGAGGCGCTTCCCCTGTGTGTGCTCACAGCTTTGTAGTTCTTGTCTGTGGGTCAAATCAACTCCACCGAAAGCCTAAGTTATGTTCACATGTACATATTATATACATTAAATATACAAATTGTACGTGTTAAATTTAAAAAAACCATGTTGAACTTACTGGAAAAGCAGCCCTGGCTTAAAAATTGGGCTTGAGATCCTTGCATGTGTTTGTTCGTTACTTAAGGCTTTGCCTCCCTAACGGTGCTCGGAGCCCTGGGGCCTCGGTGGTTCAGGCCCAGGGAACCTCTTAATGTTCCCAGGAACCGGCCCTCCTGGTCTCCGAGCCGCCTGAGCCACTGGCTTGAGGGAGCTGGCGGTTTTGCTATCGGCTCATGTGACATTCCATTCGGCAGAGTCATGCCTTCCTGGCAGCTTCTGGGTGAGAAAGAAAGCTCATCCTCAGACTTCCTCTGTCCCTGAGGCTGTCCAAGAAGCGATTTGTTTGGAGTCTTTTTTTAAATTTATTTTAGAAATAATATACCTGGAGTTCATTGTTCCAGACCCCAAAAGCAAAAATACACAAAAGTATTCACAGCACAATTTCTTGAGATGTTAACAGCCCGAGGTTTAACGGCAACTGACACACCCTCACGTCTCCCCTCTGGTCGCCTGAGAGACGTGTGACGGTCACACAGGTTTCAGCAGGAAAGGGCTGTCCGGTCGGGAACTGAAGCCTTGTTCACAACTGAGACCCTTTTTCTGTGAGCAACTTGATTGAGAACCGAACTGTTCGAGAACCGAGGCTTGACGACTTTCCCTCGCCCAGCTGGTCAGCATTGCTGCTGGCCGGCGTGTATCCTGGTGTTAAACACACGCCCTGCCCCCGCCGTCCCAGAGAAGCCGCTGCCTTCCTCCCTGCTCCCGGTCAGGTCCGCACGGTCACTCTGGCCCCGAGCATCGCTGTGGACGCTGTGTTAGAACAGCCTTACCCTCCTACCGCCCCGACCTGGCAGCACCGGGGTGCAGGGCTGCCTCTGAGCCTGGAGGAGTGGGAGGTGGACACCCCAGTGCTAACCCTCCCCCGCCTCCCGCAGGTCTGCGACGAGGAATGGCACCACTACGTCCTCAACGTGGACGTCCCCCGGGTCACGCTCTATGTGGACGGAGTTTCCCACCAGCCCTTCTCCGTGACGGAGGACTACCCGCTGCACCCGGCCAGGATCGAGACCCAGCTCGTGGTGGGGGCCTGCTGGCAAGGTAACGGGCATGGGCACCCCTCTCCCCGCGGCTCGGGAGCTCAACGCTTCCATCTGCTCTGCCGGGGAAGCAGGCTCCCCCCAGCGCCTCCCCCTCCTCTCTCTGCTCCCTCCTGTCCCGGGCCCACCGTGCTCCGGGCGCCCCGTCAGTGGCACATGCTGCCGCTGTGCAAGGACCCCTCTCCTCACCCCTCTCCTCGGAGCGGGGGCGTGCTGCCAGAGGGCGTGCAACCGAGGAACGTTTTGTAAATTAATCAGCTGTTGAGAAGTCGGAGAGCATGGAGGCGGCAGTCGGGCACAGACACGTCCGTGTGCTTTGGCCAGATGCCTCTTCCGGAGCCGGTAGCGCGGGGCAGCCTGGAGGGAGCACCTCGAGTGCCACGTCCGAGAGGTTCGTGCCGGCTCTGCCGGCTGACCAGGCGGCTGTGCCGGCGGCCACCAGAGCCACAGCGCCTTGGCTTGTGCTTCCTGAGGGCAGGCCGTGTGCCATCGCTTTACATAATCGTCTCATCAGTCCTCCCACCGAGTCTGTGGGCGGGAGCTGATTGATCCCTGTTTTACTGAAGAAGCCGAGGCCCTGAGCATAGTGAGCCCGGTCCCCAGCTGGGTCAGCATGGCTGGGGGGTGAGCCCTGAAGCCGCTGTGCCAGGGCCGAGCTCTGCCCTCTGGACCAGAGGGGAGCTCTCCTGTGCCTGGAGCCCTTACGCGGCCAGACCGGCCCAGGCGCGGCGATTCCCATGGTGTCGGCCGCAGTGCCGCCTGGTCAGAGCCGCCTTTCCCTGGGCGAGAGCCGCAGCTGCTGCTGACACCACTGTGGTCTGTGGCTGCCCACTCACGGCCTGAGGAACAGACTGTGAGAAGCCGGGGAAGAGAAGCTGCGATTTTCCCATTCACGTCAGGGATCCCTCCCTCTGCCTTCGAGGCTCACAGGCCCCACGTTCGCTGGCGACTCCTGTGCGCTGGGCCACGGCAGGCACCTTGCCGAGACACTGGTTTGAGGTGGACATTTGTGAAGAGCCTGATTTCTAAGACGGCTTTGTTTCTGTTATGGGAATTTGAATTTCATAATTTTCCTGCAGGTGCTTTCAAACGAAACAGAATAGGACAGTAATTTAGAGTGAACCTGAGGCAGTGAAACATGGAGACCAAGGACTGAGGAATAAATTGTTAGGGATACAGAAATTTTTAGTTGCTGTTCTTAAATTTTCTGTTCAAATTTGCTTTCCAAAGTAAACAAAAGTTTCTGAGAAATTATCTTAAAAACACAAACTCAGGGGCAAACCTAAGTGTTACTTTACATTCTGGGAGTTTTGATGTTTGGGTTAAACATCCCCCTTGTCACACCCTGCCGCCCTGGGACCCTGCTCATGTCCTCCAAAATGGCCACTCGCACCTTCATCCTTCGCTCTCTACCTCGGACCTCAACGTCCTCAGCCAGAAAAGTCTGCCTAACTCCCAAACCAAGCACAGCTTCGTAAAAATGTCATCAATGCGGGGGGTGGTCTCCACTGCCCCTTTTAGTGGATTTGAAGCCACTTCCCTGGCAAAGTCCCCCCGGAGAGCTGGCTGAGTGTTCCAGGGCCCCCTGCCCCCCTGCCTCGCCTCCGCCCCCCATGCAGCCCCCAGGGTGTCCACACCGCTACGGGCTGTGAGCAGAGATGGCTCCGCCTGGCCTGGGAAGCGGGGTTCTGTGTCCGCACTGGGTGCGCCTCTCCAGCCGGGCGCTCGGACACTGGACCCATTTGGGCCACGGGTGATGACCTGCTTCTCAGGAGAGTTCCTGAGCCTCTGCCTCGCCCTTCCTGTTTGGAAAAGGTGCTGCAAATGCCTTCTTCTCTCTGCCACTCAGAGGTTAAAGTCCTGACTGATGTGAACTTGTTCTGAGCTTTCTGAAGAGATGGCTTTTGCACACCCTCCGTACACCAGCCCGTGGGCTTATGTGTCCCTGGCCCTGCCGGGGGGACAGTGTGCGGCCGGGGGGACAGTGTGTGGCCGGGGGACAGTGTGCGGCCAGGGGGACAGTGTGCGGCGGGGGGGGGGACAGTGTGCAGCGGGGGGGACAGTGTGCGGCCGGGGGGACAGTGTGCGGCGGGGGGGGACAGTGTGCGGCCGGGGGGACAGTGTGCGGCTAGGGGGACAGTGTGCGGCGGGGGGGGGGACGACAGTGTGCGGCCGGGGGGACAGTGTGCGGCGGGGGGGGGGACAGTGTGCAGCTGGGGGGACAGTGTGCGGCCGGGGGGACAGTGTGCGGCCGGGGGGACAGTGTGCAGCCGGGGGGACAGTGTGCGGCCAGCGGGAGGTGCTCAGTCCGTGCGTCTCTGCAGCCAGGGAGCACCTCCTAATGGCTGCCAGCCGCCCAGGCTAAGGAGACGGAGCTCGGTGGACAGGCACTTCCTCATTCTGAATCCAACCTGCGTTTTGGCCGGGAGGGCGTGGGAAGGTGGAATAGAAGAATACCGAGAGGCTGGGGTGGCAAATAGCGCTCCTGGGAAAAGGCGGTTCCAGGCCGAATGTTCTCTCTGCATTTTGCGTTTGGTAGCTTTTCAGTGTGAATTGTCCGGGTCCACTGTGAAGAGCCTAACCCGGTCCTTTCCTCTATCTTGTCTTGCTTCTCCGCAGAGCACTCAGGAAGTGACAATGAGACTGAGCCTGTGCCTGTGGCCCTGGCAGGTTGCTGGACTTTCCCCCATGGTTCCCTGTTCAGTAAACACAGACACCCGTCCATTGCCCATTCTGCATGAAACGCCCACATTACATTGGTCCCAGTCACATCTGAGCTGCTGCTTTGCACTATCCCCCCCCATCCCCCCACCCCCCCACCACCACCACCATTGCTTCATGGGGTCTCCTTTTCAGCCTGTTCTGAGCCCAATCACAGTGAGCACGTGACTCATTAATGCAGTGCACTGTGGGACTTGTAGTTTCCTCCTCCAGTTTGCCCTGATGCCACTGCATGAGATTCCCTGCCGACATCTCATAGGCGAGGTGTAGGGGTGCCTCCCGCTTCTCAGGTGGCTGGCCCATGGGACAGGAAGAGATTCGTTTTTAGATATGCTAACCTGGCTGGTACTCAGTTTTGTTTTATTTTGGTAAATCCTCACCCAAGGGTATATATTTAGCGAGAGGGGAATGAAAGGAGAGAGAAGTTTCGATGTGAGAAAAATGTATCAATTGGTTGCCTCCCGCATGCACCCCGATGGGGTGGGGATCGAGCCTGCAACTGAGGTACGTGCCCTTGACAGAAATAGAACCCACCACCCTTTGGTGCATGGGCAATGCTCTAACCACTAAGCAAACTGGCCAGGGCAATATTAAATTGTAAACCTTCTCCTAGAAATCTCAGTCCCTAGCAGTGATTTATAGTGCTGTCTAGTGTCCTTATTGGGAATGAGACCTGCTGCTGAGAACCGGTGTCTTCTCTGTCAGTGGAGGTGCAGTGGTCTTTGCTAGTCTGTCAGGCCAGTTTCTGGGTTTTCGTTTTCTGCCTGACATCCTCACTTCCCAGTTATCCTCGGCACAGCCCCCTGCAAGGCCTGGCTCGGCGGCCTGAGTGCACCCCCTTCCCTAGTCATGCTGTGTGGGCCCATCCCCAACTGTACATATCCCTGAGCATGCTCAGCAGCAGCCGAGTGGGAGCCAGCTGGCTGGCAGGCAGAGGCTGGAGCTGGTAAGATGTGCCACTGTGCACCGTGGTGACAGTGTAGCTAGGCCCCCTCACCAGGGAGTGGAGATGTGTGGGGACACTCATGGGACCTCCTGGCTTCCAGGCTTCAGGTGAGGGACCCCCGAGTCCTCTTCTGGCCACATGCATGATCACAAACGAGTTAATTCTTCATTGCGCTTCCATGTAGACGGCAAGGCTAACAGGGTTTGGTCTGAACTAACCCGCATGTCCATCCATCCGGCTGCCACACCAGTAACACTGCGTGAGAAACGAAGCAGGGGCTCTGGGTTGCACCCCTAACTGCCTGCTTCTCTCCGCTCTCCCCCACCCCGTGTTCCAAAGGTGGTGACCTACACATGACCCAGTTTTTCCGAGGTGATCTGGCTGGCCTGACCATCCGGTCCGGGAAGCTCACAGACAAGAAGGTGATTGACTGTCTGTACACCTGCAAAGAGGGGCTGGACCTGCAGGTCCCCGAAGACGGTGGCCGCGGCGTGAAGGTAACCTGGCATTCCCAGGCTTCTAGACCACGGGAGGGGCCCTAGGCAGAGGACTGCTCTGCGATTGGTCCTGAGCTGTTTAAATTTGTACCACGTCTGACACAAATGTGTGGGTCTCTCCTCCCGCACCAGCCAGTTCCCCGCTCTCTGGACACCCACTCTCCCGGTGTCCAGCAGCTTAATCCCCGCACTTCCAGGCTTAGCTTCAGACTGCAAGGTGAGCGCTCAGCCCACCAGGCCGCCCCACTCCACGTGCCCGTCGCAGGAACCTGCCCTGGGGTTCCCTGCACTTGTGTTGGCCTTGGCCTTGATTCTGGGCTTCCCACCGTCTTCACACCCTCCTCCCCCTTTAGGTTCAGCAGTTCGCAGGGACTGCTCAGATGACTCTGTTCTGTGAACAGTGATGATAAAGGCTCCACTCCGGGAAGGGGTGCCCAGGGCAAGGCGCTAGGGCAGGCGCGGGAGCTCCCACGTCCTGCCCGGGAGGGAGCCCCCGGCATCTCCCGTCTCCCCTGTGCACCACTGGGCGCTCCCACCTGTGCTTTTATGGAGTTCCTGTCACATGGCTGACTCGCTCTTTGCCCATTGGAGGGCCACATTGCTCGAGGTGGGGCTGAAGTTCAACCCTTCACATGGTTGGCTCCTCTGGCAACCAGCCCCGTCCTGAAACGAGGACCCCACCAAGAGGCACCTCATTCACTGAACTGGGGCTTGCTGTGAGTCATGATTCCTGTCTCAGGAAATCCCTCGAGGTTTAGGAGCCTGTGCCAGAAACCGGGACGAAGACCACACCTATTTCTGTACCGCGGGCCTCTGCGCCCTAGAAGGCACCTTGCAGGAGGGGGTCTCAGTCACCGGCGTTACGGAGTCTTCTCTGATTTCAGCTTCTCGCAGCAGAACCTTACCCCCTCCTCTCTCCCTTGGGCACAATTCCAGGTCCAAGCCAACCCCGGCCGGTCGGTGCTGACCCTGGAGGCGGAGGACGTGGGGGAGCTGGAGGCGGCCATGCAGCACGTGGCCTACCTGAACTCCCGCCAGTTCCCCACGCCCGGCGTCCGGCGGCTCCGGCTCACCAGCACCGTCAGGTGTGTGCGGCTTTCCAGGAGGAGAAATGTCTGCTCAGGTTTTAAGAACAGCGTCCCCGTGTCTCCTCCGTGAGGGATGAGCCGTCCCTGTTCCCAGTGTCTGAAGGGTGCCTGCGGGTGACAGTGGGAGGCAGGCCTTGGGAGTGGCCGCCGTCCCGTTTCGGTGGCATCCTGTGCCTCCCGATGCCTCCCGGAGCCTGACCTCCCACTCCCGTCCCCATGGCAGGTGTTTGAACGAGGCCGCCTGCGCCTTGATCCCTCCGGTCGACGGCTCCGTGGTGGTTCTGCAGCCGGAGGAGCCCAAGATCAGCCTGAGCGGCGTCCACCATTTTGCTCGAGCAGCTTCCGAATTTGAAAGCTCAGAGGGGGTCTTCCTTTTCCCCGAGCTCCGCATCATCAGCACCATCACCAGAGAAGTGGAGCCCACCGGGGAAGGCGGCGAGGACCCCACAGGTAACGGCCCGGCAGCCGGACTGAGTGCGGCCACCTGGGACCTTGTTCTGGGGCTTTGGGAGACCCGAGTGTTTGCTGATCCTGGAATCTGACCCGAAGGCAGAGCTCGTTGTGATCTTTGGAAACCCACTTGGGAGGTCCTTTGGTTTTTTCAGCTTGACGTTTGCTGGTGGGTCCTCCCAGAGGCCAGGGTCCCCCCTTCTGACCTTCCCAGTGGCCTTTCCTCCTAGACTCTCCTGCAGCCCTGTCATTTGGTTCTTAAAAGGACTGGGCCAGTGAGATGTTGCATGTGAGACACACACACACACACACACACACGCATGCACGCCCAGCTCCACGGCCTCTGCCAGTCCTCACGGGGCCGCTTCTGCAGTTCAAGAGTCCGTGGTGTCCGAGGAGATAGTGCACGACCTGGACACGTGCGAGGTGACGGTGGAGGGAGAGGAGCTGAGCCCGGAGCAGGAGGGCCTGGAGGTGGACCTGGCCCGCGTGCAGCACACGGGCATCGAAGTGAGCCGCTCCCACCTGGGCGTGGTGTTCACAGGTGAGGCCGCCCCGCCCCATCTCAGGGCCCGGAGCCCCGGGAGGCGTTTCCTGGGGTCAGGCAAGGGTGCGAGCACTCCTTGCCTGTGTCCTGTCCTTACGGGGGTCATGGGGGTCGTGGCCGGGCTTGTGTCACCTCCTCAGGAAGGAGACCCCGTACACTCTAGGTTCCCTCCGCAGTTGGAAAGCCAAACGTGCCCGCTGGCTCAGCGCCCGGTGCCTGGCTCCAGCCTGCCTCGTCCGCAGCCCTGGCTGCCTGTGCTCCCAGCTCAGCCACCGCCCTGTCTCCCCCTCCCCCAGGCGTGGACACCATGGCCAGCTACGAGGAGGCGCTGCACCTCCTGCGCTATCGGAACTGGAACTCCAGGTCCTTGCTCGACCGGAAGTTCAAGCTCGTCTGCTCCGAGCTCAACGGCCGCTACATCAGCAATGAGTTTCAGGTGGAGGTGAGTGCAGGCTCCCTGAGGAGGCCTGTGCATGGCCGGACGCTTAGAGCGACTCTGGTGGCAACTCCTGGGTCCGCCCGAGGGGGTAGCCTTTTCCAGCCCGAAAGCTGCTGCTGGTCAGACATGCGGGGGCTGGGGGGACAGGCCATGGCGTGCCTCAGCGCGAGAGCCTGGGGCTTTGGAGGGAGCTGGTTGAGCTGAGAGCAGGCGCGGTGAGTGGATGCCCGTGGGGGGGAGGGCGGGGGGGGGGGGCTGTTAGAAGTTTGGCTGCGTTAGAACGAGCAGCACCGGGGAGGGAAGCCGGGGAGCGGGCTGTTTGCGGTTGTAGAGGCCGGTCCTGCTGAGTGGATCTTCGGCTCAGGTGGGGCTGCGGCACTGGGCCTGCTGCAGTGACTCGGCCCCGGTGGCCAGAGCGCCTCACCTTCAGGTTCTCAGGGGCCTCCTCAGCAGCCCTTGTCCCTCAGGCGTCTGTGGGACCACATACTCCTGGGATCCCGCAGCCCCGTGGCCGCCTGGCAGCAGGAGGCTGACTCACGTGCAGACCAGGCGATGGTGCTTTGAGCCCGAGGGAGCTGCTTTCAGGGGAAATGAGTGGTTGCCACCTGCGCCCTCCTGCACGCGGCCGTGGTTTCGGGGACGAGGGAGAGCCCGAGGCAGCTTCTCAGACGCCCTGTGGCGAGGGCACTGCTGTCCCCCGGCTCCTTCCCCGTCTGATTCTTCCATCAGGTGCTGCCAGGAGAGTCACGTGAACAGTGACCCATTCCTGGGTGACAGTGCACCTGCCACGGGAGTCTGAGTGCTTGCCTCGCCTTCTCCTGTCCGCCCGCCCCCCGCCCGCTCCTGAGCGCATGTCCGCCACACGCTCAGCCGCCGCTCTGTCCGCGCAGGTGAACGTGATCCACACGGCCAGCCCCATGGAGCAGGCCAGCCACATGGCCGCGCAGCCGCAGTTCCTGCACCCGGAGCCCCGCGCCTTCGCCGACCTCTCGGGTCACAGCCTGGCCAACCCCCACCCGTTCGCAGGTAGGACGGGCCCTCCCCGCCCGCCAGGAGCCCCGCTCCTGCTCGGAGCAGCCCGGCCGCCAGGCGCTGGGGTCCCGGTCACACGGAGGGCAGGCTCGGGGGCTGCGGGGCGGTGCTGAGCGCTTCCGTCTCCTGCTGACCCCCGGGGTCCCGCGAAGCGGCCTGCGTCCGGGGGGAGTGGGGAGGGCACGGCGGCCGGTGGGCTCGTGGCCAGGACCGTCCTCCGTGCCGTTGCAGTGGTGCCCAGCACGGCCACCGTGGTGATCGTGGTGTGCGTCAGCTTCCTGGTGTTCATGATCGTCCTGGGCGTGTTCCGCATCCGGGCCGCGCACCAGCACTCCGTGCGGGACCAGGACGCCGGCAAGGAGAGCGAGATGGACTGGGATGACTCCGCCCTCACCATCACCGTGAACCCCATGGAGGTGGGCACGCGGGCGCCCCCACAGCACCCCGCAGGCCAGGTCCGAGCCGGGCTCACCCCGAGAGCCTGTTCGAGGCCGTGCCACCGGCAGGAGTGGTGTCTCTGACGAGGCCACGTCCAGCACAGCCCGCCTGTCCGGCCGAGGAGTGCGACAGAGAACTCTCCTCTGGGGCCCCAGTGCAACACAGAACCCTCCCCTGGGGCCCGGGCAGGAGCGAGCACTGGGGAGTGTGACACAGAACCCTCCTCTGGGGCCCGGGCAGGAGCGAGCACTGGGGAGTGTGACACAGAACCCTCCCCTGGGCCCGGGCAGGAGCGAGCACTGGGAGCTGGGTGTGAGCTGGGCTGCGGTTGGGGGCCAGACTCACGTGCCGTCTCTTTGTCAGACGTACGAGGACCAACACAGTGAGGAGGAGGAGGAGGAAGAGGAGAGTGAGGACGGCGAGGAGGAGGATGATGTCACCAGCGCCGAGTCAGAGAGCAGCGAGGAGGAGGAAGTGGAGGAGGAGGGCGAGCACGGGGACCGGCCGCCGGCAAACAAGCAGCAGCAGCTGGAGTGGGACGACTCAACCCTCAGCTACTGAGCGCCTCCTGCCTCTGCAGTCTGCCGTCGCCTCGCCCGCCAGGCCCACCGTGTACAGTCCGGCCTGTAGGTCTCAGCCCCCCTCCCCTCGCGCCCGTCACCCCTGCTTGGTATGCGGGACCCGGCTCCCTCCCGCCTCCGCCTGGACCTCCGTGTGAGGAGCTGCCCCTGCTCCCCATCATCTCGCTCACGTGGCCCCTCCCGCCTCCAGAAACGCCCAATCTGGACTCGGTGACCAAGGGTTAAAACTGCTCTCCCACTGGGTAATCCTTTTTTTTTTTTTTTTAATTTCCCCCAAACTAGTGCATGTACAAAATGGCCGAATGGGGTTCATATGTAGATGATGAACTTTTTAATATTTTGTAAATAAATTGGGATTCCTCGTGTCCTTGTGCTAGTGTAACCCAGGGTTGGAACGCGAGGTGAGTGTGAAACCCTGAGCTCAGGAGGCACCGGGCGCCGGCTGTCCGGCTTGGCTGGCTCCCGTGTGGGCCAGGGTGCGGGGACCGTCTTTGGGGCTAGGAAGGCCAGGTCCTGTCTTTGGGACTCCACGGTCCACAGCGCAGCGGTGGGAGCTGGGACCCGGGCTGCTTGCACACAGCCCCGTGCAGGAACCGGAACCCACTCGTGTGGTCTGGAGGCAGAGCAGGCCCGGTGACCCTTCCTCAGCCTGGGATACCCTGACACGCCCAGCGGCCCTGTCAGAATGTGACCCCCTGCCCCCCTCCCCCCCCAACCAGCAGGCCGAGCTCTGCTCTCCTCGCGGGAGTGCGGGGCTGCGCTGTGCTCGGCAGTGAAGGGGGGGCAGAGTGAACCCCACAGCACTCGGTTCTCCATTTACGTGTAAAACTTCAGGTTTCTAAAACGGGGTGGGAGGGGTAAACACTGTTCTGTGACCCTAACCGCTCGTTTCGGGGACACTGCTGTCGTGTCTGTGGCCACCCTCCTGTGCTGTCACATAGCTGCTGCTTAGACGTGGACAGACGTGAGCGCGGAGACGGCCGTCCTGGCTGTCAGCGCGGCCCCTCCCGTGTCCGTGCCGGTCGGACGTGTCTGCCCGCAATAAAGCTCTGGTTCCAACTCCGCGGGCGCCTGTGGTCTTTCCCGCCCGCTCCTCCGCGCCAACAACGTGCCCGAAAAGGCCTTCGTTCCCTCAGCTGCTCCCCTCCTCCGGGGGCTCCAGCCACTGCCCTCAGCCGGCACCGGCACCGGCACCGGCACCGGCACACTGAGCTTCCCGCACAGACCGAAAGGGTTAAGAAAACAGTATCTTCTCACAGGGCCCCCCCGTCAGCTGCCCACACCGGAGCACGCTGCTCCTTTACAGAAACGACAGATAGACACGCTTCCCTAGGTCCAGAGGGGCCGGGGTCAGGGAGCAGCACCTGCTGGGAGCAGGGTGGGTGGTGGTATCCGTGGGCTCCTGGGCTGTGAGAGGCAGCGACCGCGGGCTCTGCTGAGCCCTGTAAGGCCTGCGGGGGTGAGGAGGGGGGGAAGGAGACCCGAAGTGTAGCCTACAGGCCCGGGCTCCAGCCCCTCACTCAGCACAGGGCCCTGACTGCCCAGCAGGTTCTCAAAGGTGGGATTCCGGAGGAGACCCACCCTTCCCTGGAGCCTCTCCCTGATCCACGACAGGACACGCTGACGGGCATGTGTAACACGCCTGGAGGACCAGCATGTATTACCCTACGGGCGGGGCGTCCCCTCCCTCAGGTCCAGAGTCGTTTGGCTATTTTCTTACCCGCAAACAAAACCGCTTTACAGCAGAGATGAGAGGGTTCCCGTACCCAAGAGTCACTTTAAAAGTGGAAAAAGCATCCCTGAATCTCGGGGCACCAGGCTTCCTCCGGAGCCACCAGGACCAGCGGCGGAGCAGGAGGCGGAGGGCGAGTGGGAGGGGGGCCCCGGGCCGCCCGCAGCCCTGGGAGAAGGCAGCTCCCCGGGGGCGAGTCTGCTGGGCCAGGCCACCAGCTGGAAGACGGGGTACGGCCCCCTCAAGGCGCCGCCTCAGTGTCTTCCCATCAGAGCCCGGGGCTCTGGCGGCAGCAGCGGCGTCCTCCTCTGCTCCAGGGTGCCCGTTGGCGATGGCTGTTCGGTTCCTGAACGTTTCAAGTCATAATAAATAACCAGTGTAAACAGAGGCAGTGGGTGCCTGCGGGCGGCGGGCGGCGGGCCCCGGGCGGCCCAGGACGGGTTCGCGCCTGCCCGGCGCGCCTGCGGGTCCGAGGTCAGCGAGCGGACGGCCTATTGCCGGTTGTCTTTGGACACGTTGTGGGCCAGCCAGTTCACTTTGGTCTTCCAGCTCTCCCGCAGCGCCTCGTTGAACTTGACGCGGAAGTGCTTCAGCGCCTCCTCCTCCGTCTTCCCCAGCGCCAGCGAGTCCTGGGCAGAACCGGGGCACTGAGGCCGGCCCGCCGGAAGCCCGCCCTCTGCCTCCCTGCCTCCCGCGGGCGCTCTTGCTCCCTCCAGGCAGCTGTGCGGAGAGTGAGGAGTGGCCCAGCCTCTCCCTGGGAAGAGCTCTTGATGCTGATCCCAAACCAGACAGGCCCCCGGGCCCCTAGGCTAAGGTGACCAGACGGCCCGTTTTTTAACAATGTGTCCTGCAGCGTTTTAAAGAAATGGGGACTTTTTTTAAAACGTCGCGGGACGCGGGGCAAATGGTTAAAAATCAGGACGTCTGGTCACCTTACCCTGGACCCACCCTCTCAGTAAGAGCCCCTGGCAGCCAGGCCGCTGCCGCTGCCGCTGCCTCTGCCGCTGCCGCTGCCGCGCCTGTCAGGAGGGCCGCACGCGGGACAGGCCTGGGGCCCGCGCCCGCCTTTACCTTCAGATACTGGATGTCTTTGGAGCAGCTGAGCTCCGGCAGGCCCGCCGCCCGCATCAGGGCGAAGAGGTGGAGGAAGAGCAGCCCGTGGCGCCGCAGGATGGTGTAGGCCCTCTCGCAGTAGCCGCGGAACCTGCACGGGGCGGGAGGCGCCTGGGTCCTCCTGGCCACTCCCACCCAGACCTGTGGCCTGGAAACAGCCCTGGACGCAGTCCCCACCCCAGCCTGGCTGCTCCTACGGGGCCCTCCCGCACCCTGTCTGCGGCCCCGGGGCCCCGGGCGTTCGGGGGGGTCTGAGGCACCCTCACCTCTCAAACTTCTCGCTGTTGTTGGTCTTGCCCTGCTGGATCACGTGCACAAAGTCATAGGTGAGGATGAAGGGGACCCGCTCGCGGTTGATCCCAAACTTGGTCTTGAAATTCCCCAGGAAGTGGCCAAAATCAATGTGGAACAGCTGAGGGGGCGGGAGGGCAGGGCACAGACTGAGCCGGCTCCGGGAAGGCCGAGGCGGGGCCAGAAGGCGGGGCCCCCACAAGCCGGCCCCCGCGCCCCTACCTGCCCGTTCTCGCGGATCATGATGTTGTCGCTGTGCCGGTCGCCGATGCCCAGCACATAGGTGGCCACACAGTAGCCGGCGCAGGAGAGGGTGAACTCCTCGATGGCCCTGTCCAGGGCCTCCCTGGGGGGTAGGAGGGGGGATGGGAAACCACAGCCTCGCCCTGCAGTGCCCGCCTTCCCTGCTCCAGTGAGGAGCGAGGCAGGAGGCGGCCCCGGGCCCAGACAGCCACCGGCCAGGCCCGGCGAGCCAGCAGCTGCAGGAGTGGTGCCCTCAGAGCCACTCAGCTGGGCCAGGTCAAGGGGCAGGTTTCTGAGCCAACAACCAATGAAGGCTGCCGAGCACCCCTAAGTCGGGGGTGGCTGTTACACGGCGATGGGTAACTGATTCAGGGGGGAACGGAGACCCCCCCACCCCAACACAGGCCCGGACAGTGTCTGGCTGAGCCCAGAAGCCACAGAGAAGTCACAGGCCTGTCCCTTCACCTGTGACTCCAGAACCTCACCTCTTGGGGAGGAGAGGACACTGGTCCCCAAAGACGGGGTGCCCCCCAGGCCCGAGACCTACCCAGGGTTCTTGGACTTGAGCCAGTTGAGCAGGGCATCCTTGTTGAAGGCGGCCGTGGCTGCCATGTTGCTCTTGTTCAGCTGGATGTTGGCGATGGTGTCCGAGTGCAGCACCACCTCGATGAGGCCCGTGCGGTCCCCGGTGGAGAGGCAGCCGTAGGGGGTCATCCTAGCCGGTGGGGGAGGGCGGACAACGGTCAAGGGCTGTCCTGGGGCCGCCGGCCGCCGAGGAGCTCACCGCACCCAAAACAGCCACAGGAGCTGCTGCTCGAGTGGGTGGCCAGGAGGCAGAGCAGCCGCGGCTGGAGCAGCCCATGACGCCGGGCCCGGGGAGGCTGCGGCTGGGTCGGCACAGAACCGGACGCTGGCGCCGCACCTGCCGAGCTGTGCTCAGTGAGAGATGCCCGCGGCCAGGAAGCAGGCGGGCCAGGGGCCAGGGGCGTGTGGGGACACGCCACACGGCCAGACGGCAGCCAGCGGGCAAGACGGGTGCTGAGCGCCGGGCCGGCCTCCTCCACCCTCAGCCTGGGGCCCATCGCCCCTCTGGCCGGAGCTGACACTGGGCCCATCTTCTCAGCAAAGCCATTTCCCGGAGGTGGCCATGTCAGCCCTGACAGGGGACCCCGCCCCCCTCCACAGGCCGGGGCCCAGGCCGGCGCAGGCAGGACCGAGGCCGGGTCCTCACCTCAGGTCCAGCCCCTCCTGCTTCCACAGGACGTCCATGAGCTGGATCATCTGCAGCGTCAGCATGTCCTGGCGGAGGTCTGTGCCGCGGCCCCGGGGGAAAGAGCAGAGTTTCTGGAGGGTTCCGCACGCCCAGCAGGCCTGGGCCCCGCTCCGGACGTGTCCCTGGCTCACCCTCCGGACCCGGGGCAGTGGGGGCCCGGCCGCTCACCGTCCCCGTTCTTGAAGATGATGCCCACGCTGCCGTCACCGCCCGCCTCCTCGTTGCTGTACACGACCCACAGCGGCTTCATCTTGGAGTCCATGAAGGTGCACTGCTCCACGCTGCGGGGGGAAGGGGGGCGGTCAGCGGCCCCGAAGCCCCGGGGGCGGGGGGGGGGCGGTCAGCGGCCCCGGGGGCGGGGGGGCGGTCAGCTGTCCCGAGGCCCCGGGGGCGGGGGGGGGGCGGTCAGCGGCCCCGGGGGCGGGGGGGGGCGGTCAGCGGCCCCGGGGGCGGGGGGGGGGCGGTCAGCGGTCCCGAGGCCCCGGGGGCGGGGGGGGGGCGGTCAGCGGTCCCGGGGGCGGGGGGGGGGCGGTCAGCGGCCCCGGGGGCGGGGGGGCGGTCAGCGGTCCCGAGGCCCCGGGGGCGGGGGGGGGCGGTCAGCGGCCCCGGGGGCGGGGGGGGGGCGGTCAGCGGCCCCGAGGCCCCGGGGGCGGGGGGGGCGGTCAGCGGCCCCGGGGGCGGGGGGGGGGCGGTCAGCGGCCCCGAGGCCCCAGAGGCTGGGTGGGGCCGCGCGGCTCACCAGACTTCCGCCAGCAGGATGCTGGGGTCCAGCGGGGACTGCAGGTGGGACAGCGCCTCCAGGTAGGTCTCCTGGCGCATGCACAGGTGCATCAGCTCCTTGGTCTGCGGCTTGGGGCTCTTCTGCGAGCTCACCTTGACAAAGTCGTTCAGCGCCTTCAGCTTGCTCAGCGCCTCCCCCTGGCCGGAGGAGGGAGGGCAGCGTGAGGGGGCGGAGGGCGGGCCCAGGTGATCCCACTGCCCGGGAGCGGAGCCCGGCCTGGAGCGGGCAGGCCCGGCCTCACCTGCTTCATCAGCACCTTCATGTGGTGGGTGCTGCCCCGGCAGTACGCCTCCATGATGAGGCCGAAGCGCAGGGACACAGAGGGCACGTGCATCTCGGAGCTGCTGGGGCAGAAGGAGCTGAGCCTCCCGGGCAGGGCACCCAGCCCCCCAGCCCCAGGCCCCCCAGCCCCAGGCTCCCAGGACCCCCAGCCCCCCCAGCCCCAGGCCCCCCAGGACACCCAGCCCTCCCAGCCCAGAGGGACACCCAGCCCTCCCAGCCCCAGGACCCCCAGCCCCACCAGCCCCAGGACACTCAGCCCTCCCAGCCCATAGGGACACCCAGCCCATAGGGACACTCAGCCACCCCAGCCCCAGGACCCCCAGCCCTCCCAGCCCCAGGACACCCAGGCCCCGGGCTGTGAGGCCAGCAGGCGGGAGCCCCCCGCCCCCGGCCCTCCAGCTACCGGAGGTGCCAGAAGAGGAAGTGGCCGATCTTGCGGTTGGCCAGCGCCCGGTCCAGCAGGAACTTGGTCAGCTCGCAGTCCAGGTAGGACTCGTACTTGAGCACCTGCACCAGCTGCAGCAGGTACTGGAACAGCTCGTCGTCCCTGCGGGAGGCGCTGGGCCTGAGCTTCGTGGCTGGGGGCCGGGGGCCGGGGGTCTGCAGGCCTGGGAGGGCCGGTCCCCGCCCCCGGGGGAGCCGGGACCCGGGCTCACGTCAGCTTCCGCAGGGACTTGATGGCGAAGGAGCCCACGTGGCGGTCGGGGAAGCTGGAGTCCAGCAGCTCCAGGGCGCTCAGCACGGGCAGCTCCGGCCAGGAGCACAGCAGGTAGAGCATCTGGGGGGGCCGGCAGTCAGGGGGTGCCTCTCGGGCCGCCCCCCCCCCCGGCCGCCCCGCGCCCACCTGGGCCACGTCCTCGTGCTTGTTCCACTTGGTGACCAGCAGCAGCCGGGCCAGCGCCTCGGGGAAGCGCTCCTGCACCTCATGCCGCAGCTTCCACACCAGGTCCTTCTCGTGCTCGTACAGCTCCCCCGCCCCGCGCCGCTCCAGGATCTCCCGCAGCTGCAGCTGCTGGGGGCGCAGGGGCTGAGCTGGCCGAGCCCCCGCCGCCCGCGGCCCCGCACCCCGGCACCGCCCGCCGCCACCCTGCGCCCACACCCCCACCCACACCCTCGCCCGCCTCCACCCTGCGCCCGCACCCCGCCCACCGCCCGCCGCCACCCAGCGCCCGCACCCCGCACCCACACCCTCGCCCGCCGCCACCCGGCGCTCGCACCCCGCCCACTGCCCGCCGCCACCCTGCGCCCGCACCCCGCACCCACACCCTCGCCCGCCGCCACCCTGCGCCCGCACCCCCGCACCCACACCCTCGCCCGCCGCCCCCTCACCTCCTCCTCCGTGGCGCGCCCGTGCTCCCCGTGCCGCCCCAGCTCCAGGATCTGCAACGATGGGCGGCTCTCAGCAGTGCCCCGGGCCGGCTCTCAGCGGTGCCCGGGGCCGGCTCTCAGCGGTGCCCGGGGCCGGCTCTCAGCGGTGCCCGGGGCCGGCTCTCAGCGGTGCCCGGGCCGGCTGGCCCGCAGGGCCCCAGGGGGGGTGTGTGTGTGACTGCACTGCTGACCCTGGGCCAGCGGCCCTCAGCGGGGGGCCTGTCCTGAGCGCTGGAGGGAGGTGGGCAGCATCCCTGGCCTCCAGCCACTGGAAGCCAGGAGCCCCCCCCCCCTGGTGGTGACAACCGGGAACGTCTGTGGGGCCCTGGATTCGATTCCGGTCAAGCGCACATGCCCGGGTTGCAGGCTCAATCCCCAGGGCAGGGCAAGGGGGGCGAGTGGGGTGGTGGTGCAGGAGGCAGCTGATCAATGGTTCCTCTCACCACTGACGTTTCTCTCTCTCCCTCTGCCTTCCTCTCTGAAATCAATAAAGATACTTTAAAGAAAGAATGTCTGGCTATCCCCTGGGGGCAGAGGAGTCCCTGGAGAACCACTCTCGGGCGCAGGGCCATGCCCGGGGGTCCCAGGGGCAGCAGGGGTGTCACTGGCAGCCCCAGCCTGCGCAGGGCGCTCGGACTGACCTTGTCCAGGGCGGGGTAGTACACGGGGTGGGGCGCCACCTCGGGGAGACAGATGACCAGGGCGGCGGCGCTCTCGGTGTTGGGGTTGTTGCACACGGTTCCCGTGGGGTTCAGCAGCTCCCCTTTCTCGTCTGGACACGGGAACGGGAGGAGTTACACGGAACAGCCCACTGGGGCCACCCCGCCCCGCCTCCCGGCCGGCCGCCGGCCACCTGGGACGGAGGGCCACATGTAGAGGCAGCGCTCGCCCGTCTTCAGCTGGTCCTTGTAGTCGAAGAGGGTGAGGTTGGCCCAGGCGATGGGGCAGTCCTGCGGGGGGGGGGTCGGGGGGGTGGCTCAGGCCCGGGCTCTGGCCAGCTCCCTGCCTCAGATCCCCTCGGGGCTCCCTCCGCCCCCCACTCCCAGCTGCCGGAGGAACCCTAACCACACCGCGGCAGCCCCAGAAAGCGGCCCGCTCGGCGGCGGGAGTCAGCACGGCTCAGCGGCCAGCCACCTCCTGGGGCCGTCACTCAGAGGCCGCTCCCTGCAGCAGTGTCCTCCCTCCCGGGCAGGGCCCCCGTTCCCGAGGGACCAGAGGCCCAGTCGATATGTCTGGGTCACCCTGTTAGCAAGCCCGGGACCCAGACCCTCAGGCGGGGCCCTGGCAGAGTGGGAGGCTGGGAGGTGGGTCCCCAGGGTGGGAGGCTGGGAGGCGGCCCCCAGGGTGGGAGGCTGGGAGGCGGCCCCCAGGGTGAGGCTGGGAGGCGGCCCCCTGGGGGGGAGGCTGGGAGGCGGTCCCCTGGGTGAGGCTGGGAGGCGGCCCCCAGGGTGGGAGGCTGGGAGGCGGCCCCCAGGGTGGGAGGCTGGGAGGCAGCCCCCAGGGTGGGAGGCTGGGAGGCGGCCCCAGGGTGGGAGGCTGGGAGGCGGTCCCCTGGGTGGGAGGCTGGGAGGCGGTCCCCTGGGTGAGGCTGGGAGGCGGCCCCCAGGGTGGGAGGCTGGGAGGCGGCCCCCAGGGTGGGAGGCTGGGAGGCGGTCCCCTGGGTGGGAGGCTGGGAGGCAGCCCCCAGGGTGGGAGGCTGGGAGGCGGCCCCAGGGTGGGAGGCTGGGAGGCGGTCCCCTGGGTGGGAGGCTGGGAGGCGGCCCCCAGGGTGGGAGGCTGGTCCCCAGGGTGGGAGGCTGGGAGGCGGCCCCCAGGGTGGGAGGCTGGTCCCCAGGGTGGGAGGCTGGGAGGCAGCCCCAGGGTGGGAGGCTGGTCCCCAGGGTGGGAGGCTGGGAGGCGGCCCCAGGCTGAGTGGCCCCAGGCCACGGGTCTGGACGGCCGCAGGGGGTGCGGCTCGGAGGCCGCCCGCCCGCCGCACGCACCGCCTTCTTGGCCTTCTTCTTGGTGGAGCGCGCCTTCTTGGCCTTCTCGATGACGGCGTAGAGCGCGAAGCACAGCCGGGCCATGCGCGGCAGGTCGCACACGTGGATGTCGAACTCCAGGCGCTGCTTCCACACGGGCTCCGAGCACACGCTCACCTCCGAGCTGGACACCGTCTTGCACAGCGTCTCGTTGCCGTGGAAGAGCCCGGCCTGCACCACCAGCTGGGGGGGGAGAGGGGCGGGGCACGGGGCAGCTGGCAGAGGCCGGCCCCCTCCCTGCCCGGCTCTGCCCCCGCCTAAGCCAGAGCCTCCCCCAGAGGTCCTCCTTCCACAGGCTCTGAACCCGCGTCCCACGGGGGAGGAGACGAGGACGGGGGGAAGGGAAGGGGCCGTGGGCTGTGCATGGGGGACGGTCATCGGCTCCCGTGACAGTGGGACCCCAGGTCATGCTGCCTGCTCTGGCCTCCGGAACTCAGGGACCTTTGAGCTCTAACCCTGAGGGCTCCCTCCTGGCTAAGTCCCAGGAGCCCCTGAGGCTGGGGAAGGAGCCCCTGAGGCTGGGGATGGAGCCCCTGAGGCTGGGGAAGGAGCCCCTGTGGCTGGGGAAGGAGACCCTGTGGCTGGGGAAGGAGCCCCTGAGGCTGGGGAAGGAGCCCCTGAGGCTGGGGAAGGAGACCCTGTGGCTGGGGATGGAGCCCCTGAGGCTGGGGAAGGAGACCCTGTGGCGTGGAAGGAGCCCCTGAGGCTGGGGATGGAGACCCTGTGGCTGGGGATGGAGCCCCTGAGGCTGGGGATGGAGACCCTGTGGCGGGGAAGGAGCCCCTGAGGCTGGGGATGGAGCCCCTGAGGCTGGGGATGGAGCCCCTGAGGCTGGGGAAGGAGACCCTGTGGCGGGGATGGAGCCCCTGAGGCTGGGGAAGGAGCCCCTGAGGCTGGGGAAGGAGACCCTGTGGCTGGGGAAGGAGACCCTGTGGCTGGGGATGGAGCCCCTGAGGCTGGGGATGGAGACCCTGTGGCGGGGAAGGAGCCCCTGAGGCTGGGGATGGAGACCCTGTGGCTGGGGAAGGAGACCCTGTGGCTGGGGAAGGAGCCCCTGAGGCTGGGGAAGGAGACCCTGTGGGTGGGGATGGAGCCCCTGAGGCTGGGGAAGGAGACCCTGTGGCTGGGGAAGGAGACCCTGTGGCTGGGGAAGGAGACCCTGAGGCTGGGGAAGGAGACCCTGTGGCTGGGGAAGGAGACCCTGTGGCTGGGGAAGGAGACCCTGTGGCTGGGGAAGGAGCCCCTGAGGCTGGGGAAGGAGACCCTGTGGCTGGGGATGGAGACCCTGTGGCTGGGGAAGGAGACCCTGTGGCTGGGGAAGGAGCCCCTGAGGCTGGGGAAGGAGCCCCTGAGGCTGGGGAAGGAGCCCCTGAGGCTGGGGAAGGAGCCCCTGTGGCTGGGGAAGGAGCCCCTGAGGCTGGGGAAGGAGACCCTGTGGCGGGGATGGAGCCCCTGAGGCTGGGGAAGGAGACCCTGTGGCGGGGAAGGAGCCCCTGAGGCTGGAGAAGGCCTGCCCCCTCCAGCTCTGCTGGGGCAGAAAGCTGCCTGCATCCAACCTCCAGGATTCTGCCAGGGGGACCCAGACCTGCCTGCTTATGAAATCCCCCCAAAAAGTGCTCCCCAAAGAGACCCACCCTCTGGGACCCAGGTTTCACAGTTTGCAAATGGGACAATAACACCTGCAGGAGCAGGCTGTCCGAGGACGAGGCTGTCCCAGGACGAGGACTGGGGAGCTGAGGTGTGGGCCTGGCCCCAGGGGTCTGGGCAGGCGTTGTACACCCGCCCCCCCACCCCCAGGGAACCCCAAAAGGCCCAGCCCATTGGAGCGGCTCCCCTTCCAGTGCCTGCTGGCCCCCCAGCTGCGTGCGGTTTCCATGTCCCGGCTGGGCCGGCCCCACAGCCTCCCCCAGATCAGTACCCAGAACTCCCCGGGCCCCGTTTCTCCGAATCGGCCTGGCCACGGCCTGCCCCCGCCCCCCTTCCTGTTTTGAAGCAGCTCGCAGCCAGCCAGGCCGGGATGCTGGGTAATGTGGTCAGGTGGCTTTCATGTGACCCCCCTTCCTCCGCCGCCCCCCCCAGCCACAGCCACCTTGTTTGTGCAAAAAACACCGATCCCCGCGCCCCCCCCCCCCCCCCCCCCGCCCGGCCGGAGCCCCTACCTTCATCCGCTCGTCGGCGTTCACTTTGCTGCCCTGGATCAGCTCCACGCAGAAGGGCCGCTCCAGGGCCCACAGGGACAGGGACGAGGGCTGCAGGAAGAGGAGCCTCAGGAGGGCCAGGCCCGGGATGCAGGGCTGTGGTGAGGCCCAGGCACCTATCCCGCCTCCATCCTTTTACCAGAAGCCCCGCCGTGTGGGCGGCTCGGCAGGCACGGCGCTGCCTCCCGGCAGGAAGCAGGGGAGCAGGAGGAGGCCCCGGGCCCGGCCCGGAGGCTCAGGGCCGCGTCGGCTGCCAGGCTCAAAGCCCCACTCAGCACTGGCCTCTGCCAGCCGGGTGCTGCCCGCCAGGCGGGGGCTGGACACCCTGGGTGGGGGGGGGAGCACGTGGGGGCCAGCTCACCTTCTTCATGGGGATGGGGGGCGGCTTGGTGCGCGATTTCTGGACCTGGGGGGCAGGGTTGCTCTGCTCGTCCCGCATGGCAAGGATGGAGGAGGAGTGGACCATGGTCAGGTGGGGGGTCAGCCCGCTGTGCAGGCAGCTGCAGATGTACTGAGACGGGACGGGCAGTGAGCGGCCGGTGAGCCGTTCAGCCATTCCCCCTAGACAGCTGGCTGCCGGGACCTTCTCACGCCAACCACTGCCCATCCCAGCCTCCCAGCCTCTACCCAGGCTGTCCCTGCGCCCGCCCACCTCCCAACACAGAGCCTTCCATGTTCACAGGGAGGTCAGCCCAGCAAGGGGACACTCTCGCAGTGACCCCCAAAGGCCTGGCTCATCAGGCTCAAAAGGGGCCCAAGAACCAGCTCTCCCACCTCCCCCGGCCTCTGCCCTGTCCTCTGCCCCGGCCTCTCTCCCCGGCCTCTCCCCCGGCCTCCGCCCCGGCCTCTCCCCCGGCCTCCGCCCCGGCCTCCGCCCCGGCCTCTCCCCCATCCTCCGCCCCGGCCTCTCCCCCATCCTCCGCCCCAGCCTCTCCCCCGTCCTCTCCCCCGTCCTCCGCCCCGGCCTCTCCCCCGTCCTCCGCCCCGGCCTCTCCCCCGTCCTCCACCCCATCCTCCGCCCGGCCTCTCCCCCCGGCCTCCGCCCCGGCCTCTCCCCTGTCCTCCGCCCCGGCCTCCGCCCCGGCCTCTCCCCTGTCCTCCGCCCCGGCCTTTCCCCTGTCCTCCGCCCCGGCCTCTCCCCTGTCCTCCGCCCCGGCCTCTCCCCTGTCCTCCGCCCCGGCCTCTCCCCTGTCCTCCGCCCCGGCTTCTGCTCGGCCTCTCCCCCGTCCTCCGCCCGGCCTCTCCCCCCGTCCTCCGCCCCGGCCTCCGCCCCGTCCTCCGCCCCGGCCTCTCCCCCGTCCTCCGCCCCGTCCTCCACCCCGGCCTCTCCCCCGGCCTCCGCCCCGGCCTCCCCCGGCCTCTCCCCCGGCCTCCGCCCCGTCCTCCGCCCCGGCCTCTCCCCCGGCCTCCGCCCCGGCCTCTCCCCCGGCCTCCGCCCCGGCCTCCCCCGGCCTCTCCCCCATCCTCCGCCCCGGCCTCCCCCGTCCTCTGCCCCAGCCTCCGCCCCGGCCTCTCCCCCGGCCTCTCCCCCGTCCTCCGCCCGGCCTCTGCTCGGCCTCCGCCCCGGCCTCTCCCCCGTCCTCCGCCCCGGCCTCTCCCCCGGCCTCCCCCCCGGCCTCTCCCCCGGCCTCCGCCCGGCCTCCGCCCGGCCTCCCCCCCGGCCTCTCCCCCGGCCTCCGCCCGGCCTCTCCCCCGGCCTCCGCCCGGCCTCCCCTGGCGCGGCTGCTCACCTGGAACTGGCAGAGCGGGTAGCTGCCGTACAGGAACTCCTGCTTCCCGTTCACCTGCAGCGTGTAGTCCTCGGGCTGCTCCACCAGCGGCTGCCGGAACACGGTGGCCTTCTTGCGCAGGGCGCAGGCCATCAGCGCCAGCGGCAGGTCCTTGGTGGACACCTGGAAGGTGAAGCTCTCCTGGGGGGAGCGGGGGGGGGGGGGATCAGCCTCCTCCTGTGAGGGACCCGGGCCCGGGGCCAGAGGGGGCTGCCCCGGGCCCTCCCTCCCCTCCCCCACGGGCTCCGCAGAGGGGCTGCCCCGGGCCCTCCCCCCTCCTCCCCCGGGGCTCCGCAGAGGGGGCTGCCCCGGGCCCTCCCCTCCTCCCCCCACGGGCTCCGCAGAGGGGCTGCCCCGGGCCCTCCCCCCCTCCCCCCCCGGGGCTCCGCAGAGGGGCTGCCCCGGGCCCTCCCCCCTCCCCCCATGGGGCTCCGCAGAGGGGCTGCCCGGGCCCTCCCCCCACGGGGCTCCGCAGAGCGGGCTCCGATGGAGGCACAGGGCCGGCGGCCAGGAAAGGGTGCTGAGTGAGGGGACGGACAAGGACGAAGGCCGCTGGCCACTGTCTGGTCGGACGGCCGTGCCCCAGGGTCTGCTGCTGCAGAGGGTGGATCGGGGGCCGGCGGGGCCGGGGCGCCTCACGGGACACACCCCGGGGCACGGCGGCCGGAGCAGCCCGGGGCCAGCCCTCACCTCGCTGCCCTCGAACTTGACGTTGACCAGGAGGGCCCGGCCGGGGGCGCGCAGGCCGGGGCCCCAGGCCCGCGCCGCGGGCTCCAGCTGCAGCGGGAAGCTGTACTGCAGCCAGGCCTCCCAGCCCAGCTGCTGCCGCCGCGCCGCCGCCTCCTCGCACAGCTGCCGCATCTTCGCCCGGAAGTCGTTCACCTCGGGGTCCCGCAGGGAATCGAACTCGTGCAGGCCTGCGGGCGGGCGGGGGGGTCAGGGGTCGGGCCGGGGTCAGAGGGTCAGGGGTCGGGGCCGGGGTCAGAGGGTCAGGGGTCGGGGCCGGGGTCAGAGGTCGGGGTCAGGGGCCCGGGGCCCGGGCACCTTTGCCGATGAGGAGGCTGATCTGCGAGTTGATGAGCTTCTTGACGCGGTCGCCCTCGCGGGCCACCAGGCGCAGCACCGGCAGGAAGGGCTGGATGTCGCACAGCCGCCGCTGCTCGTCCTCCAGCTCCTGCTGCTCCGCCGTCTGGTTGACGCAGGTGAACACGTAGGCCTCGGGGTCGCTGAGCATGTGGAACAGCGGCTCATACTGGGCTCGGTGCCACAGCACCTGGGGACGGCACCGGCACCGGTCAGCGGGCAGCCTCCGACCGGCCGCGGCCGGGCCCCGGGCGGAGGCGGGCTCAGCCTGGGCGTCCGCACCAGCAGGGGCTGAGCGTCCAGCAGTGAGCCAGGAGGTCACGGTTCGATCCCCAGTAGGGAGCGTGCAGGAGGCAGCCAATCGATGATTCTCTCTCATCATTGATGTTTCTCTCTCTCTCCCTCCTTTCCTCTCTGAAATCAATAAAAATATATTTTAAAATAAAATTAAAAAGACAACGGCAAGACCCTAAGACGGCCACCCTCTCCAGACCCTGGACGGTCACCGGGAGGCCCGCCACCCCTCCTCTGCGAGCTCTGGAATCTGGAGCTGAGTGCTCTTACATCTCCCGGACGTGACCCCCGCACCCCCAGTTAACCCTTCTGGGGCTCATCACCCCGAACTGTAAATGCTGGCAAACAGTTCAGGACAGTGTAACGCACTGCGGGGCCATGAGACCCTCAGTGGGCTGTGTGCCTCCGGGCAGGTGTGCCAGGGATTGCTGGGAGCCTTCTAACAGCCAGGGTTTAGTGCAAAGGTGTTCACCGCTGAGTCCCGGGGAAGAGGAAAGGGGAGACCAGCCTGGCTGTGCCCCAGGGGGACGGGTAATAAGGCCATGACCCCGGAGGGATCACAGGGGGCGGGACCCAGAACCCCCGGGTTCCTGGGCTGCAGAGCACTCGAGAGGCCTCACCGTGAGGGAAAGACAGAAAGTGAGGGTCAGCCGGTGTAATCAAACCCGGTTCATAGAAATGACAATAAACACAGAGCCCTGGCAGGTATGCTCAGTGGGTAGAACATCGGCCCACGCATCAAAGGGTCACAAGTTCGATTCCCGGGCAAGGGCACTACCTGGGCTGAAGGTTCGATCCCTGGCCTTGGTCGGGCGTGTGCAGGAGGCAACCAACTGACGTCTCTCTATCTGCCTCCCCCCCCTCCTCCTTCCCACTTTCTCCTTATGCTCTCTGAAAGCCAATGGGAAGCATATCCTTGGGTGAGGATTAACGAAAATAAATAATAAACATCTGAATGATATAGATCAGGACTCAGCAAACCACCAGGTTACTGGAAGGCAGCCACGCCCCCTCATTTACATATTGTCTGGGGTGCCCCGGCCTTACAAGGCAGAGCTGGGGCTGCAGCAATGACAGCATGACTGGCCAGCAAAGCCCGGAACGTTCACTCTCGGCCTGTGGCCTGAATAATCGCGTGAGGTGAGACTGCCGGGACCCACGTGTTTTGGTATGTTCACAGCGCTGACATGTGAATGCACATACATGTACAGCTCTGAAAGCAGAAAAGATTAACCTCAAAGTAATGTTGACCTAAAGTTAACAAGATGAAAAAGATGTGACATTTTAGCTCTGAAACAAAAGGATATGAGAGTTCATAATCAGGATTTATGACTACAAACAACACTGTACTGTATACAAAAGAGAAAGCAGCGAACAGCGGAAGGGTTAACTGTGGTTTTCTCAGATAATTTGTTCCTCCTACTGGATCATAGATAATTCTTTCCTTCTACTTTTTCTTGTTCCTCTATCTCAATGGGTCCATATTACTTTTGAAATAGAAAAAAAAAAAGAAACTTAATGTTTAAAGAAATCTTCCAGGAAGAAAAGATTAAAAACAACAACAAAAAACAAAAAAAACCCTCAAGGCTGGTCCATGGCACCATTGCTTCTCTCCTTTTCTGCTCTGCTCTCAAGTGTAGCTTTTAAAATCCTGAGCTAAGGTCTTGCCCTGTGGCATGTCACACTCTGTAAGCGGAACAAGCCAGTCACTACCAAATACCATCCAGATGTCTAATCTCCTGACTCAGTCATTTACCCAGAAGATTACTCAACGAAAAACCAAAAATACGATTTCCGAGGATGTGTTACTAGGACGACAGCCCTGAAGACAAAAGACCAGCAAAGCCCTCGGTGGCCCTGGATGGAGCGGGTCCCTCCACCAGCCAGGCCGGGCGAGGCGGGCCGCGTGGGCACACAGCCCGAGCGCTCACAGGCACCTGCAGGCGCAGCCGAGTGAGGAATGCGAGGCAGGCTCTCACTGCAGGTGTTTAAACAATTCCTACACATCACCGAGGGCACTCACAATTCCCGCCCGAGGCTCACACCTGAGAAAGTACGCTTGTGAGTGTGGGGGGTCTGTCATCCTGAGTTCCAAACGCTAAGGACGAGTTTCAAGGGCAAGCCTCAGCTGGTCTGCCTCAGTGGACTGAAGGGTCCTGGGTTCGATTCGGGTCAAGGACATGTACCTCAATTGCACGCTGGATCCCGGCACCAGGAAGGGCATGTTCAGGAGGCAACTAGTCAATGTGAAACATCGCTGTCCCCCCCCACTCCCTCTAAAAACCAATGGGAAGATACCCTCGGGGGAGGGTTGATATAAAGAAATAAATAAATGAGGCCTAGACGGTACCTTCTTGATGGTGCTGAGGCTGGCATTGCGGGACACGGGGAAGTTCAGGTAGACCCCCGTGGGCAGCAGGAAGTCGACCGCCACGCTCTGGTTCTCCTCGTTGGCCCAGAATTCCATGGGGCAGTCCACCCCCGGGGGCATCCTGCTCTCACTGCTCCGACACCGGGCGTCCTGGGAAGGGGAGAAGCCGGTGAGCGGCCGGCGGCACGGAAGGCCTTCGCGGGGACCCTCTGGGAAACGGGGTTCGGGGATTGGGCCACAGGAGGCTCCGGAGGGAGGCTGGGCCCCCGAGGCTGGCCGCCCTCGGGCCTCCTCCTGCCTGGGTGGCCCTGGTCCGGCTGGGCCGAGCCACCTCTCATCAGGGCGGCTCCTCGGCCACATCCCTCAGCAGTGGCCCAAGTTCAACCACCAACAGACCAGTTCCAAGCCCGTTTCTCAGGGGCACCCCCGGGAGAGCCGCCCGGCCACCCCCTGGCCAAGGAGCCACGTGGCCGGCACCCGGGACGGGGAGGGACCGAAGGCGACAGCGCTGAGCCTTCCTCACGGGAAACCACACCGAGTGGCTGACAACGGCTTTGGGCCATGAAACAATCTGTTCAAACACCTCAGTCCTACCAACCCCCTCGGTCACCCCCCTCCCCAGGAACAAAATGGCACAGACTCAAGGTCTCCAAGGGCCCCAGCACCCCAGGGTGCCGTTCTGCCTGTTTATGAATAACGTCCATGGATGTTTTCAGACTGGTATTATACGAATAGGTATCCACAAGGCCCAAACCGGTGTGGCTCAGTGGATAGAGCGTCAGCCTGCAGACTAAAAGGTCCCAGGTTCGATTCCGGTCAAGGGCATGTACCTTGGTTGCAGGCACATCCCCAGCAGCCGGGAGGGGGGGGGGGGAGCAAGAGGCAGCTGATTGATGATTCTCTCTCATCGATGTTTCTAACTCTCTATCCCTCTCCCTTCCTCTCTGTAAAAAATAAAATATATATTTTAAAAAATATGTATCCACAAATAACTCCTAATATGTTTGCTTGCTTTAAAACTATGCCGATACACGTGGCTCTAGTCCATTCTTTTTAACACTTGTGGTATTTCCACATTTTATTTACCTCTTCTCTTGTTGATGAATCTCAAGGTTTGTTTCTACTCTATGTATTACAAAAGCAATGCTACAATGTATATTCTTTTTCTTTTTTCCTATTCTTTTTAAAAATGTATTTTTATTGATTTCGGAAAGAAAGGGGGAGGGAAAGAGAGAGATAGAAACATCAAGGATGAGAGAGAATCATTGGTCGGCTGCCTCCAGCACCCCCCCCCCCCTGGGGATGGAGCCTGCAACCCGGGCCTGTGCCCTGACCGGGAATCGAACCCTGACCTCCTGGTTCACAGGTCACTGCTCCACCGCTGAGCCACCCAGGTGGCTTCTTGCTTGCATCTCCTTGTGTGCGTGTCAGAGTCATGATAAGTGTTGTCCAAGAGAAGTATAAAGTGAGAGGTGTGTGTGATGTCAGAGTTACCATAGCCACATTTAAAAAATAATTAAATGACAGGTAAAATTAAAATTAGCAATATATTTTACTTGACCCAGTATATCCAAATCATGGTCATTTTTTTATGTTATCAAGATAGAAAAATTACTAAGCAGACATTTTACATTTATTTTATTTTGAAATCTGCTGTGTAATCTATACTTGCTGTGCACACTACGATTCAGACAATAGGTTTTCATCAGAAATCTTCCTCTCGCCCTGGCAGTGTGGCTCAGTGGGCAGAGCGTCGGCCTGCGGACTGAAGGGTCCCAGGTTCTCTCCTGGTCAAGGGCACGGACCTCGGCTGCGGCTCCTCCCCAGCCAGGGCCCTGGTCGGGGTGCGTGCAGGAGGCAGTCAATCTCTGTGTTTCTCTCACATCGACATTTCTCTCTGTCTCTCCCCCTCTCTCCTCCTCCCCCTAAAAATCAATGAGAAAATATCCTCAGGTGAGGATTAACACACACACAAAAAGAAATATTCATCTCTAAGTGGATTTCATACAATTGGCAGGTGAAAAAGTAAGGCTTACACACTCAAACGGTTCTAAAGATACATTTAAAAGTTTTCAAGTAAAGGAATTCAAGTACCCACCCTTACATGTACACGAATTAAAATGAAATAAAATGCCATTCCTCAATCCTATGTTCGGAGCTCCGCGGGGCGGGCCGGCGGCCACACAGGACAGCGCGGCCGGGGCACACACTGCGAGGGGCGGCCCGGCCACAGGTGTGGCCTGCTGCAGCCGCCGCCGTCACTGACGCCACCAAAGTGAACGGCGACATCCGTGACAAGAGCAACACAGCCTTCCTCTCACCGACACCTCACAGACTCACTCATTCCTGCCGACCGAGAGGCCTCAGGTGCTCCCGTGGTTACAGTCTGCATCTCCCCGATTTCCCATAAAAGGCCAATCTCCAAACAGCCTGCTTAGAAGCGAGGCCCGTGTTGCTGTGCAGGTATCTGTCCTTTTCTTATGAGCTTGGAGTTTCTTTGTATATACTCTAGATGGAATTCTTTTGCTGCTTAAACGCATAGGAAATATCTGAGTCACCTTTTTATTTTGTTAATCGAGGGTTTTTTCCTTTTGATGAGTATTTTTTAATGTTGATGCAGACAACTTTTCAACCTTTTCTTACGTTTTTATGATTTTTATTCTTTAGAAAAATACTTCCCTAATGTAAAGTCACATCCTTCTAGATTTAAGTGACTTGTAAAAACCAGTTGAAAGGAACCCTAGTGGGTTTGGCTCAGAGGATAGAGCATCAGCCTGTGGACTGAAGGGTCCCGGGTTCGATTCAGGTCAAGGGCATGCACCTGGGTTGCAGGCTCATCCCCATCCCCAGGTTGGGGCACATATGAGAGGCAACCAATCGATGTGTTTCTCTCACATCGATGCTTCTCTCTGTGTCTCTCACCCTCCCTTCTACTCTCTCTTAAAAAAAAAAAAAAAAAGCTTATGCCTTAGCCAAGGTCAAGGGCACATGCCCAGGTTGCAGGCTCGATCCCCAGTGGGGGGCGTGCAGGAGGCAGCCAATCAATGATGCTCTCTCATCACTGATGTTTCTATCTCTCTCCCCCTCTCCCTTCCTCTCTGAAATCAATAAAAATGTATTTCTTTAAAGAAGCTTAAAGGGAATGTTTAATGGGAGACAGACATTCCGGTGGCCCTGCCAGGTTGGCCGGCCCTGCCTTCGGCGGGATGCAGAGGGAGCAGCTCAGTGTGCACACCGCCCTCCACTACCTGACTCTATGCCGAGATCCTGTCCTGATTGTCAAACCACATCCTATCCGGTTCCTCTTTCTGAGAATGGCCAGGCCAAAGGCTTCTTTTCTTTCTTTTTTTTTTTTTTCTTTAAGAAAGAACGTAAAAAGAAAAAGGAAAAGATTTCTTTATTGATTTCTTAGAAAGAGAGGACCATTGATGAGAGAGGGAAATATCAATCGGCAGCTCCCTACAGGCCCCACTGCGGATGGAGCCTGAAGCCTGGCCATGTTCCCTGACCAGGGATCCAACCCGCAACCCTTCATTGCATGAGGCGATGCAACCCACTGAGCCACACTGGCCAGGGCACGCTTCCTTTTTTATTCAAATGCCGGGGCTCCTCAGGCAGCCGGAGAACCACTCACCACGCTCCCTGGGCTCCGGCCGGGCGCGGGGGGTCAGGAGCACCTTCGGCCATTCGCTCCCGAGGCCACGGCCAGAGGGACGGACGGGGCCCAGGCCGCAGGCCGCCTCAGTCCCTCCTCTACGTGGAAACGGAGCTTCCCCCTGCTTCACCCGCGGGGAATGCAGGGGAAAACCCACTGCTGCCCGGCCGGGCGGCTCAGTGGGGTGGAGTGTCGAAAGGTTGCGGGTTCGATTCCCAGTCAGGCACATACCTAGGTTGCAGGTTTGATCCCTGGTTGGGACCCACACAGTCCTTTTCTATGGGCTGACCCATGTCTCTCTCCTGCATCAATGGTTTTCTCTCTTTCTCTCACCGTAATCCTCTCTAAGATAAATAGAAAGCGTAGCACTGGGTAAGAATTAAAAACAACAAAAACCCCATTCCTACAAGGAGCCTCTCGGGATGGCGTGGGCAGCACATGACCAGATGCCGGACGCGGGCAGAGGAGGGGGACGCGCTCCCGCCTTGTGGGCCCAGGGCCCGGTGCCGCTGCCCATGAGCCCGGCTCTGCAGCCTGCAGACACCAGCCGATGCAGGGCTTCCGAACGGCCCGAGATCACAGACTGGACGGCCACTGGCACACTGACAGCATCCGCGGTGCCCTCAGGACGGCGGGCCGCTCCTGGGCAAACACCCGACGGAAACGCAAGCCTGTGGCATCGCTGTCCTAACGCCCGGCCTGGGGACCGCCCCATGCGCACCAGCCCTGGATGGAAATGAACTGTCCGCTCCCCCTGGGGACCGCCCCATGCGCACCAGCCCTGGATGGAAATGAACTGTCCGCTCCCCCTGGGGACCGCCCCATGCGCACCAGCCCTGGATGGAAATGAACTGTCCGCTCCCCCTGGGGACCGCCCCATGCGCACCAGCCCTGGATGGAAATGAACTGTCCGCTCCCCCTGGGGACCGCCCCATGCGCACCAGCCCTGGATGGAAATGAACTGTCCACTCCCCCTGGAAGGGGAAGAGGGGCAAGAACGGGCTCTAGCCACACACGATACAAATGAGCAGCCGAAACCGGTGTGGCTCAGTGGATAGAGCATCTGCCTGCGGACTGAAGGGTCCCAGGTCCGATTCCTGTCGAGGGCATGTACCTTAGAAGCGGGCACATCCCCGGTGGGGTTGTGTGCAGGAGGCAGCTGATCGATGATTCTCTCTCATCGATGTTTCTAACTCTCTCCCTCTCTCTTCCTCTCGGTAAAAAATCAATAAAATATATATATTTTTAAAAATGATCCGCACAAGCGTGGAGCTGGATGAAGAGATCAGGATCTCCGCACGGAGTGGCGTAGGCAGCTCCCCGCTGACGCAGGGGAGATGGCCTCACCCTGGGGGAGAGCAGTGACCCAGGGGACAGGGAATGAGGGCTCTGGGTGCTGGGAATTTGGGGTTTCTTGATCTGAAAGAGGGGGACTTTTCAGACTCAACACATCCTCAGTCCAAGGGGCTCCAATGGGCTCACTGCACTCGTGGCC